AAATGGGCAGGGGGGAAAAAGAGAGGTGGGGGGAGAAAGGAAGTGACAAGAAAAAAAGTGAAAATAGAAGGAAAAAATGGTAACATTTGTACATAGGGGAGGGGCTTCAGTGGGGGGAAAGGGATAAAATAAAATTCATTAAAATAAAATTTTAAGTGATGACAGAAATAAAAATAATAAAATAAAAATTTTAATAATTATATCTAATTAGAAATGTAATGCATTTCCACAAAAGAATTGCAATCCAAGTAACTGCTAGTGAATTCCTCCAAACACTTAAGGCAAAAATTCTACTCTTATTTGACTCTTGTGAGAACAGAAGGAGGGGGAATACTTTACAACACTCACGAAATCAGCATGATTTTGTTTCTAAAGCCTGACAAGGACATTACAACAAAGGAATTTATAGCCCTGACTTCCCCTTGAACAAAATATTAGTGAATCAGATTCAAAGATGTACAAAAAAAGGTAGTACATCACAGTCAAATAGGATTTGTTCCCTGAATGTAGGTCATTTTTCACATTTAAAAATTGCCAGGTGTGGTGGTGCCTGCCTGTAATCCTAGCTTCTCAGGGGAATGGCAGCAAGTTCAAGGCCAGCCAGGGCAATTTAGCCAGACCCTGTCTCAAAATTTAAGACAATAAAGGGCTAGGGGTATACCTCAGTCTTTTGGGTTCAATCCCCAGTACTACCCAAAGGGGGGTTGTTCCATGATAACTATTTTGAATACACGAATTAGCAAGACATTAGATACAGGAATAATATGCAAGAATTGCCTTTTTTTTCTTTTTTATTTTTTTTTGCGCAGTAGCATGAAATGATCACAAATATTTTTAAATTTAGTATTTATAACAATAAAATTACCATATTCTTAGGAGCATATAAAAGGTATTAAAGATATAAGTAAATATATTACATAGGTTGGACTCTATTTTACAAAGATGTCATTTCTACCCAAGTTGATCTATAAATTCTATACAATCTCACACAAACCTCAGCAGGTTATTGTTGAGGAAATCGACAAGCTTATGAAATTTATGTGAAAATGCAGAGGCCAAGAATAGTCAAGTCATTAAGAACAAAACTTGAAGACCCACTACTTGGCCCTACTGTAGCGATTGAAAGAGTGGCATTCACCAAGTGCCTAGATCTCAGCTGCTAAATTCTATTCTCTGATAAAAGAATAGTGTTAGAGTTTCTTGAAAGAAGTAGGTAATTCCAAGACTGGGATACAGAAAATACAAAATGAGCCCGCAAGGTCTTTTGGTCCTAGTTTAAGTAAGGAAATACAAAGGATGGGGACATGTTGTGAGGACACCTGAGTCAACCTGAAGGGTCTCTTAAAGGTAAAGCCTACAATGTGACACATAGTGATTATAATGAGACTAAATAGCCAAGAGTCCATGTTGATCCAAAAGAGAGCTCTTGGGGAAGATTTCCAATTAACACAAGGATTAGGGAACAAAACCATCCTAAGGAAAACACTGCAGTAGTTGTTGCAAGCAAGATAGATGCTAAAAACAGGCAAAGCTTGAGGGAAAAAGTCGGGTATTGTGTAGTTAACACATCTCCATGATGTTCATCACTTAAAAGGAACAAATAGTAACCTTACATTGTAGAAACCCAGTGAACCAAGTAATCACAGTTAATGCGTTAACTTCTTGGGAATCTAAAGAATTGCCAGAGATTAGAGGAGGCTAAAGAGACATAGCAAGATGTACAGTGGCATCGTGGATTGAATTACAAAATGAGAGGACATGAATGAAACAAATGTAGTGCAATAGTATATCAGTCAGGGCATGGCGCAGTGTGTCTATATACCCAGCATTTGGGAGGCTGAGACAGGAGGATCACCTTAAGCTTGAGGCCAGTCTGGTGTATATAGTTGAGTTGAAGGTCAGCCTGAATAGTGAGACCCCATCTCTTAAAAAGCAAAACAGCATGGCATGTTGACACTCACCTGTAAACCCAACACTTGGGAGGCTGAGGCAAGAGGATCACTATGAGTTTGAGGCCAGCCTGAACTCTGAGTTTGAGACCCTGTATGTCTCTCTCTCAAAAAAAAATACTATGTCAATGTTGTACTAATATTAATATTTATTATGTTAATTTCCAAGTTTTGATCATGTTACTGTGATACCATAAAATGTGAACATTAGGAAAGTTATGTGAATTCTGCTTTGTTTTGCAATCTTTCTGTAAGTCTAAAATTATTTCAAAATAAGTATTTCTAAATACCATACTATTAGCAAAAGGTACATTCGTTTCCTAGGGCTGCTGTAGCAGAATATCACAAAACAAGTGACTTAAAGCAAGAGAAATTTCATCTCTGACAGTACTGAGGCTGGAAGTTCAAAATAAGTGTTGGCAGGAGCTGGGCGTGGCCGAAGGAATATGAATTCAAGGCCAGCCTGGACTGCATAGCAAGACTGTCTCAAAAAAACCAAAACACAGCGTTGGCAGGGCCATGTTCCTAAAGTCCCTGGAAGATCCTTTTTTATATCTTTTAGCTCTGCTCATCACCAGCAGTTCTTGGCTTGTGGCTGCCTCTGTGATCACATGGCCGCCTTTCCTGCCTTTGTCCTGACTTCTGCCAAAGACATCATTTCAGTCAGTTTTAGGGTCCAGCCTAACCCACCTTAATAATCTGAAAAGACCTTATTTCCAAATAAAGTTACATTCTGAGTTTCTATCTGGGCATTAATATTTATTTTATTTTATTTTATTTTTTACTGGGGATTGAACTCGGGTCTTCCACTTGCGAAGCAGGCAGCGGCACCACCACTGAGCAACCCCAGCCCTTGGACATGAATTTTTTAAGGCACATTATTCAAACCAATGTGCAAAGATAGACCAATAAATAGACCAATGGAGTGGAACAGAAACTCTAGAAACAGTATCACATACTGGGTACATCTGATTTATAGTAGACCAGTGCAGTGGGGAAAGGGGAGTCTTTAATAAATGATGGTGAAACAAGTGACAGTCTGTATAGGGATAAGCTGGGATAGTTGTGCACACCTGTGACCCCAGCACTCTGGAAGACTGAGGCAGGACTCTCAGAAGTTCAATCCCACCCTGGGCAATTGAACAAGAACTTATCTCAAAATAAAATTTTTTTTAAAAAAGGTTGGGGATGTAGCTCAGTAGGAAGGCCTTGGGTTCAATCCCTAGTACAAAGGGGAAAAATCTGTACAAGAATAAAAAGAATCTAGACTCCTACCTCATAGCATATATAAAGTCCAGCTCCAGATTGATCATAGACCTAAATGACAGGTACATAACAAATTGTTTTCACAGCACACCCAGGAGAATACCTCCACAAACTGGTTAGGCAGAACTAATCTAATTGGAGAAATTTGATAAATTGGACTACATTTAAATGTTTAGAAATTTTAAGCCATTGTTTCTCGGCCTTTTGGCTAAGATCACATGTCAAAATTTTAAACCAGGCATGGTGGCACACACCTATAATCCCAGAACTAAGGAGGCTGAGGCAGAAGGATCACCAGAAGTTCAAGGCTAGCCTGGGCTACATAATGAGTTCAAGGCCAGGCATACATAGTGAGACCTTTTTTTTTTTTTTGGTTTTTTGAGACAGGGTCTTACTATGTAGTTGAGACTGACCTGGAATTCACTATGTAGCCCAAGCTGGTCTCGATCTCGGAGCGATCATCCTGCCTCAGCCTCCCAAGTGCTGGGATTACAGGCATGCACCAGCACACCTGGCTAAAAAAAAAAATTTAACCTACTAAGGCAAAGAACTGAAAGTAGAATTATCAATCACTACACACAGTAGAACTTGGTGCAGTGCTTTGGACCAGCAATTAATTCTATATACATCCGCAACAGAAATTAATCTACATGTCTAGTAAGATGCATAGGAATTTGTGTAACAACTTTATGCAACAGTAGAATGTATAAATTGTATAATACAATGAAATACTATGTCAGTCAAATTACTACAACACCGTGGGTGGATCTCTTGATGAACTATAGACTGAGAGAAGCCAAACGAAAGAGTATATACTGAAGGATCCATTTATGTGAAGTCTAGGAACAAGTGTAATCTCAAGTGAGAGCAGTAAGGATGGGGTAACCCACGAGGGTATTGATGGGGAGAGGTCATTCAGAGACTTCAGGCTGCTGGAAAATGTACTCCATCTTAACATAAGTGATAATTACACCGGCATATGCATTTTAAAAATTTTAAGAAATACGCTTTGGATATATGTTACAAAAGGTGTAGCAGACATATTGCCAAGAATGGTAGGGTAATTGTGTTTGGAAAGAAGGGGAGTTTTTTTTGCTTTGTTTTGTTTTTTGGATTTTTTTTGGTTTTTTGAGACAGGATCTCACTGAATAGTTGAGACTGACCTGGTACTCACTATGTAGCCCAGGCTGGTCTTGAACTCACCAGCGATCCTCCTGCCTCAGCCTCCCAAGTGCTGGGATTACAGGCGTGCGCCACCATGCCCGGCCATGGAGAGAAGGGGAGTGTTTTGAGGGGATACATGGCAGTGTGTCTTTCACTGTGACACATTTTTTAATTTAAACAATCGCCATATTTTTACCTATATTTAAATTGTTAAATTAAGGAAAATGTATTTTAAATATTGAAACAAGATCTCATCAATGTAAAAATAATAGTCACCTTTACAATATTCGTTGTATTGAGATTCTGTTTTAGTGAGGTTTCACTGGAATTTACAATTTAGGTAATATTTCATGGTTCACTGAATACCTTTCACAATATAGTGAAAGATACGTCATGTGGGTGTAAGGATAAATATTGTGGGGGCTGGGGATTTAGCTCAGTGGTTTTGCCACCTGACTCGCAAGCACAAGGTCCCAAGTTCAATCCCCAGTACCCCCCCCAAAAAAAATTGTGGGTTTTAGACTAGAGTCTTTATCCTAAATAAATTAATATCCAAAACCAGTTTTTAACTTTTTCAAATTACTGGAATCTTATATCACATTGTTCATTTCTGTCTTTTAGGCTAAGACATCAAGCACACAAAGAATTTTATGCCTACAAACAGGTGAGAAATTTAATTCATATTGGCTTTGATCATATTTTTCCAAAAAAATTTTAAAAACTAAGTTTTCCACTCATTTTTGAACTACCTGAAGTGTATTTAGCTCAGTTTTGGGGTCTAAAGACAGAATGTCTATGCAGGGTGTGAATGGTGGTACACTGTGGAGGGGATCTCACTGTGGACCTGAAACAGAGAACTACACTCATAGTTTAAACAGGCACTGGATTTAGTAATGTTTATTTCAGCATTTGAGCTGTTAATTTGCAAAAATAAAATAGATCAACTTCATTTTCTCACATATTATTTTATTTCATTAGCATTAGTTGAAACAATAGAAATTTTAGGTGATAGAATAATAGACAGAGCCAACATTTTACTAAAGAGAAAGGCTGTGTATGATACTCTTGAACATTATTTTTAAGAGTTTAGAGGGCTAGGTATTTAGCTCAGTGGCACCATACCTGCCTCACAAGCACAAGGTCCTGAGTTTGATCCCCAGTACCAAAAACAACAGCAACAAAGCAAACAAAAAAAAAGTTTAGAGATTAACATTTATGTGAATTTTTCTCACCTCCATTTAAAGACATAGTAGTTGAGCAGAAGTGATCAGCTGTGGTACAGTGATCTCACCTACTCCCATTTTTACTTGAAATTTTAGCTGAGGTCACCCAGTAGAAATCTACCAGCTTGACTCATATAGGCTACTAACCCTTCTCTAGCCCTTCCCTGATTGGTTCTATATTTAGCACTTTTTCTTTAGGCCAAGTAAAAGTGTTTTGTTTTGTTTGTTTGTTTTTCCATGTGTCATTCATTAACATTCTACCCTGATACCAAACAATGGCCCTATATTTTTCTTGATTTTTTTTAACCCTAAGCATATATTTTTATTGCCTTGTTTTTTTGGTTAGGAAAAGGAGACGCATCTGCTAATTTGGGTTTTTTATCTTGCTGACACTTATATTACAGGATTCTGTCACTATTTTAAGATTGTATATCTTACTGTCCATCTTTTTTCTATATGCCTTTGGAATTGGAGCTCTTTGACATGTTCCCTAGATGTACATACTGATGTTTTTGGTTAACCCCATGCTCTCCTCCGTAGATTTCATGAATGTCTTAGTTTTCTAAATGAATGGATCTTTCTATCTCAGTTCTACCATAATCTTGACAACGTACATGATCATGTGCAGACTAACTGGAAAGTAAAATTGGCTTTGGTGGTCACTTAGTAGGTAAAGTTGGCTGATGGAACAGATCACAAGAGAAATTGCTTTTCATATTAGGATAAAATATAATTCTATTAAGCCAGATTTACTCTGAAAAGTTTATTTTCAGAAAAGAAAATTTTAATTAGAATTTTTCATTCCTTATTATCACTTGGCATTCCCTTTAACTGATGGCCGGTCACCACAGAATCAGGTTAAGGACAAACCTAGATGAAAATTTGGCCCTTTAATACAACTCTGAACAGAGCTAAAACTTGCTAAAGACTTTGATATATAATAAGCAAATGTCCAAAATTAAGATTGGGTTTACTTAACAAATTGGGTTTACTTTGTAAATGACTATCAGTCCCATCACCCAGTGCTGTTTTACTGAATCAGATAGGCAGTTTCCATATTTATCACTCAGTCCAGGTGGGCATGTGTTGATATCTTTCTCAAGTTTTAATCTACTCTGAAGAGATTTTAGAAGTGCTTTTCAGGGAGTGCATCTTTGTTTAAGTTAAAAGAATGCTGTTAAAATGTTCTGGCCTCAAGTTGTAAAGATGTTTCTCCAAAACTGAACTTGAGGGAAATTTAGAGAGAAGTGTTGGTGAGTACAAGGAGAAATGTTTTAAGTTGCAGATTTAAATGGGCATGAGAATATACTTTTTTGTTTTACAGGTTATATTAAAAGAGAAAGTGAAAGAGCTGAATTTACATGAGGTAGGTTGCTTATAAGTAAAGTATTTTGATCTTTTCTTGAGCTATTTCCTAATACAAGTATTATATTGTGGTGTGTTTAAATACCTTTATTTTCAGAAGTTGAAAAAATAGGTTTATTTTCATCGCATAATAGACTGTTTGAGGGTGACATCACATAAAAATCAGTTGTGAGAGTGTGAGAAGAGTAACATCTCAAGTCTCTAATAGGGATGGTGCCAAGGTAAGATTTCATAGCAGCAGGGATGCTGCTTGCTGTCCATGTTGTATGAAAAGGGGAAAGATATAAATTAGTATTCAAGATGAACTTTTACTCATTTCACCCTTGAAAATGTTCTCAGTATCCCATATCAATGGCACTAAAAAGGCAGTTATTTTATAGAGTATGGATTAGAGGAAGTGAGGCAGAGAGGGATAGAGTAGGGGAAAAGGATACACACATAAGTGTAAAAGAACCCTTAGGATTGTCTAGCCCTTGGGTTGCAGATTTGGTTTTTAGGTGACCTATAGACAAAACCTGAGTGTATATACCCTATTCTGTATTTTAAGACACATTGTCTATAAGAATTCCTTTTATTGTTACTCCTTGTGTTGCTTATGACTACACATGTTCAGAATTTAATTATTACCCTTTTTCTTCCTGCCTTTCTGATCTTTTGAATTGGTAGTTAAAGTATGGACTTGGGAAGCTGTGCATTAGAAAATCTGTGTCTTACATGGCCTAAAGGTAATGAAACTACATTGTTAGTCTCTTCAAAAAAAGTTAATTTGTGAAGCTATTTGAATAATAAAAATAATTATCTATATTATGATTAAACACTTTGAAATCAGCCAGGCGTGGTGGTACATGCATGTAATCCCAGCACTCAGGAGGCTGAGGCAAGAGGATCACTGTGAGTTTAAGACCAGCCTGGGCTACATAGTGATTTCCAGGTCAGACTCTACTACATAGTGAGACCCTGTCTCAAAAAAACAAAAAACAAACAAACAAACAAAAAAAGAAATCATCTACTGCTCCTTTGGTCATTCTACCTTTGGTCATTCTACATATTTTTCATTAAAGAATTGATATTTCTGTTTAACAGCACTTTATACCTAATCTTCTATCTTTTTCCAGAAGTTAAGTTTGACACATGGCCAAAATTAAGATATAGAAGTTGATCATTTTTCTAATTGAGGCCTTTTGATAATCATAAGTGAAAAGATTAAATTCTAATATACATTAACATGTTGAATAACCAAGGTGTGTTAGGCCAAGAACCTTCCTTATTAGTTTGACTCATTCCTTTAGGGACTTTATCCTAAACAAGTGCATTGTGTTACATCATCACATATCAGAACTTGTATCCCAGCTGTATCCATCAATTCTAGCTTTGCTGAATCTAGCCATTAGTTATGTAGTCTTTGATTTGTTTACCACAGTACCCCTAGCTCTGATAATGGCAAGTAGTTGCTTTTGCCACTGAATTTCTTTTGCACCTAATCAAAGTTAAATGGCCATATTTTTGTGGCTTTTTGTATTCTCTCTTCTGTTCCTTTTAATTATGTGCCTGTCTGTTCCAGTACCACAGTCTGATTATAGTAAGTCCCTGACTTACAAACATCTGAGTTGTGAACTTTGACAGATATGAATGGACCTTGTATTATGAACATTTGTAGATGTGAACAGATCACAAAAGCTCACGTGTGCCAGACATTGTCACAGTGTGCTGCTGTGCGCTTACTGTACAGTGTGATAGTTCACAGTAGCACAGAGCTCAGAGCCCAGGATGTGCAGAAGCAAAAGGAAAAGCAATGATGCTGTGGAGGGGACTGCTAGGAAGTGCAAAGCAATATATGTTGTATATTTATGTCAATGGTATCTAACACTCACCTTGTCAGATTTATGAACAAATTGGACTTAGTCTCCTGGAATGGAACTTACTCATAAGTCAGGGAGTTACTGTACTGCAGCCTTAGAGTAAATCTTACAATGAAACAGTGTCATTCTCCAATTTTATTCTTCTTGTCCAAGATTTAGTTATCTCAGTTTGTTTTCTGAGGCTGGGAATTTACAAAGAAAAGAGGTTTGCTGGGCCAGGGATTTAGTTCAGCAGTTCGGTGGCCTGCCTTGTAAGCGCAAAGACCTGAGTTCAATCCCCAGTACCAAGAAAAAAAAAAGGTTTGTTTTGGCTCTGCGCGCTAGAAGACCAAGAGCATGACACTGGTATCTGCTCATCTACGTGCTGCCCCACGATGGCAGGGAAGCAGACATGTGCAAAGAGAGCTCCTATGGCAACACTGGAAGCTGGTGGGCTTTATAAGAATTCACTGTTGCAGTAACTAATCCAGTGTCAGGAAATCTAACTCACACATGCAAAACCTATTCCAGAATCAAGAAAACTGACCCACTCTCTCAACAAAGACATTAATCCATTCATGAGGGTGAAACCCCCATGACCTGTTAACCTCCTCGTGAGGCTTTGCTTCTTAAAGGTCCCCTTTCTCAACACCATCACACTGAGGACTAAGCTGTACGTGAGTGTTGGGAGAGACAAACTGTATATTCAAACCACAGCATTAGTCTAGTTCCTTTGCCCTTCCATGTAAATTGTGATATCAGCTTGTCTGTGTCAACCAGAAAAAGTTGAGACTTTTTCTTAGCATTACATTAAATATATAAATCCATTTGGATAGAACTGGCCTTTACCATATTGTCTTCTAATCTGTGAATATATTTTATTTTTCCTTTTATTTAGTCACTTACTTGAAGCTTTTTTATTAGGTATATACATATTTTCTTGGCGATTGACTGCTTTATCAAAATTTCTCATCCCTGATAATTTTCTTTGCTTTGATGCCTTTGTCTGATATTAATATAGCTACTCCAGCTTTTATTAATATTGTATGGTATGTCTTTTTCAGTCCTTTTGTTTTCAGTCTCCCTATATAACTATATTGAAGTGAGTTTTCTTGTAGACGGCCTATGGTTGGGTTATGGCTTTTTAATCCACACTGCCATTGTCTGACAGATGTATCAGCTGATAGTATAAAACTTTTAGAAGTGATCACAAGTGTATCAATCTTCATGGCCTTAGATTAGGCAATGGATTCTTAGAACCGCTAAAGGACAGGCAGCCAAAGAAAAAAAGATAAACTATACTCGTCAAATTAAAGGACATCAAGAAGATGCTAAAGGACATCCTCAAGAAAGTGAAAAAGTGCCAGACCTGGTGGTGCACGCTTGTAATCCCAGCACTCTCGCAGAATCACTGGAAGTGAATTCAGGGCCAGCCTGGGTTACATAGTGAGTTCAGGGCTAGCCTAAACTACATAGCAAGACCCTCTCTCAAAAAAATATTTTTGCATATCTTCTGAGAAGGGTCTAGTATGCAGATTATACCAAAAACTCTTAGACCTAAGTCATAAAAAGCCATAAAATAAAAAGGTCTGCAAATACTTTCTCCCAGGCTTTTCAACCTAACAGGATCTTTTGTGAACAATGTTTTTTTAATTTGATGGAATCCAGTGTATCGGTTTTTTTCCTTGGTTGCGCGTTTGGGTGTCTTGTGCTCTTGACGTGTGTGGATTCATAGTTGCTCCGATATCCCATGTTGAAATGGCTGGCCTTCTGCACCAAAATGCTATTGCACCTTTCTCAGATAAGTTGGCTACAAATAAGGGATTTGTGTCTAAAATAAAGAATTATCACTAGTCAATAATAAAAAGAAAAGCCAGCCCAAAAATGGGCAAGGAAACTTGAATAGACATTTCTCCAAAGAAATACAAATGGCCAAAAAGTACATCATGGTTAGTCACCAGTTAATGACCATTTCACATCTATTAGGATAACTGCAATAAAAAACAATAATTAATGTTGATGATGCTGTGGAAAAATTAGAACTCATACACTGCTGGTAGCAAATGGTGCAGCCCCTTTGGAAATCAATTTGATAGCTCCACAAAAAGTTAAATATAGAGCCAAGCATGGTGGTGCGCACCTCTAATTCTAGCACTGAGGCAGGAGGATCACTGTGAGTTCAAGGCCCGCCCGGCTACATAGTGAGTTTAATTAAGGCCAGCCTAAACTATACAGCAAGACCCTGCCTCAAAAAAAGAAAAAAAGTTTATATAGAGTTACTGTATGAACCCGTAATTCTACTTCTTGGTATATACCCCAAAGAACTGAAACCAGGGCTTATGCACCAGTGTTTGTAATGCTGCATTATAAATTACAGCCAAAAGATTAAAAACCTCAATGATCATCAGCAGATGAATGGATAAACAAAATGTTATCTATATAATGGAATATTATTCAGGTATAAAAATGATGTAATTTACATAATGTCCTTTGAAGATATTAAACTAAGGGAAAAAAGCCAGACAAAAAGACAACATATTGTACAGTTCCTTTTATTTTATTTTTATTTTTTGAGACAGGATCTCACCATGTGGTTCAGGCTGGCCTCAAACTCACAACAATCCTCCAGCCTCAGTACTAGGATTACAGTTGTATGCCAGCTAGTATAATTCCATTTATATGGGATGTCTAGGATACAGAAATCCATCAAGATGGAAAGTAGATTAGGAAGTGACTACGTATGAGTATGGGCCTTTTGGAGATAGGGAAATTAGATAATGGCAATGGGTTACATAGCTCTAAATGTGTTTAAAAACTGCTGAATTGTATATTTATTTATAAAGTAATGAATAATATAGTATGTGAATTATATCTCAGGTTTGTTTTTTTAAAAGATGATGGGAATTCCCAATGGAGAAATAATCTGTCTTTGAAATACTGAAAAGTAAAACTCATTTGCATAACTGATTTGTAAAAGAAAGTTGTACAATGACTTTGGCCCTCAAAAAACTTCTTGGACGCTGGGCGTGGTGGTGCACACCTATAAACCCAGCACTCAGGAGCCTGAGGCAGGAGGATTGCTGTGAGTTCAAGAATAGCCTGGGCTACATAGTGAGTTCCAGGTCAGTCTCAACTACATAGTGAGACCCTGTCTCAGAAAACCAAAAAAACTTCTAGGAAATCAGATCTGAGACCTTTGTCTTTTTGTGATTGCTCTTAATTTTTGGTCACCTTTACCACTTAATATGCCAGAACTTAGGGTTTTTTAAAAAATGTTTAAGGCATCTATAGTTTTAGAATGTGTTTATTTAGAGTAACATTATAACCATTATCAGACTCCCCTTTTTGGGTTTGCTTTTTTCAGTTTCTGGGAATTGAGCCCCTTGTGCATGTTAGGCACATGTTCTACCGCAACTATATTCTCAGTCCTTTTATTTTATTTATTTTTTTAAATTAGAATCTCACTGTGTTCCCCAGGCTAGACTTGAACTTGCTATCCTCCAGCCTTAGTCTTCTGAGTAACGGGGATTACAAGTGTATGCCACTGTGCCTGGCTACAAGCTCCATTTTGAAAAGACTACAAATATAATTTTGGATCTGGAGAAATAAGTGAATAAAACAGTAGTGTGTCCAACTTGCCCTATGGTGAGGCCAGTACTAAACCTCCACAGGACAAGCCTAACCCTGTCAGAAGGTTCAGGTGAGGGCTCTGGGTGGGTACAGGGCCTGTTGAGTCGAGGAGGTGGGAGCATCACTCCCCTTTACAGAGGGGAGCTGCGGCCCAAAAAGAGATCCTAAGACTGAAACTGGTAGCTTCTCCCTTTTATCTACAGATTATTCTTAACTTGCCTCCAGAAACAAAAATGGGCTTGAAAATGGAGCTTCTGTCACAAAATGTGAGCACTAATAGGCAGCTGGTCTCAGTGGACTCCTTTCCTTCCACCCTGATCAGATGGTAGTGGTAAGGAGAAAGCAGTAGTGTCACGAGGGTACAGGCCATCTGCCTGCCCTGCTCCTCCTCCTTCTGCACTTGACTGGACACAATTGTCCACTGTCCTCCTGGAAGATCCTGTCCGCAGTACATGAAGGGCCGTTGGAAGACCAGCATTCAGGGCACTTGCCATGGGTGTTGATGTAGGAAGTTGGGTTGGTATGGTAGAGTTAAGAAATGGTGACAGTGAAGCCAGATCAGCAAGAATCAGGGATCACCTGAACCAGGCCACCGGGGATGGACAGGGACGCATGGAGAGGTATGCAGCCATTGGGCAAGAGACTGGTTTCCATGGTTCACCTGGGTCCCCAGCCAGGCCTGGCTGCTTGCTAACATGGTTACTGTTCAGAGTTTCTGTCTCCACACCTATAAAATGTGCAAATGCAACAGTGCAGTGTCCAGCACATTGGTCAGCACTCAGGAAGTAATGTTGGAAACGAGCATCTGTGGGTAAAACAGAAAGAAGGCCTCTTTCCAAGCACCAGAGACTGACCAGCTATTAGACAGCAATCCTGGCCCTGTCTACATATTTTCCTAAGTTTTAATTTAATGAATCTTTAATAGCTTTTAAGACGACAAAGACACTGATAGAACAGTGCTACAGTAGGAAGCCCTAGAACTACAGATAACATTGCTGCAAGATGCCCCACAAAACAAGCAGATTGCTCAGTGTGTTCCCTGCATTGAGCACTCAGGAGCCAGGGCTGAACCACAGAGCAGCAGTGCACCCTGGGGAAGGTAAGGCCTGCATATGTGACAGGACCCATCTCTATCTGCCTACTGCCTTTCAGCCATACAACAGGAACCGGTGAGACCCTTAGCGGGTGGTGGCCATGCCAGCCTGTTGCCCTCATGTAAAGAACTATGGGACACTCTAAGTCCCTTCACATGACCAGGATGAGCAAGTACCCAGCACACCGTGGCCTTACTTATGACTCTGTCTTTCAGCTATGTGCAGTGTGTCTAGAAGACTTCAAGCCTAGAGATGAGCTGGGGATTTGTCCATGTAAGCACGCCTTCCACAGAAAGTGAGTATCATTGTTTATTTAATGTGACCCAACTTAAGAGACACATCAGCCAATGTAGTATGGACCTTGAGGCAATGCCAGATGGCCTCTCCATTGGTCTATAGCACAGAAAGCTGATGGAACTCTACAGGGTGGGGTGTATATGACATTAGGAGGGACAGGCAGGCAGACCAGGACTGGCACAGCACAGCTCAGGCAGAACCAGCCAAGCCCACACCTCTCTGGAGCCCAGGCTATAAACAGCTGTCTGACCAGAACTTTCCAATGACAGCTTCTATCTCCTAAATATGTATTTTCTTATCAGAACCATAGTTATTTTAAATCAGAATAACAAAGTCTGAATATAAATGATGTGAGACTGCCTCCTCCCGCTTCCTGAAAAACAGTAATATTCCTTTTTCATGCAAGTTTATGCTTTGGACCTGTATTAGAAAACTGTATTTTTCCTCCTTCCAACCTCCCTTCTCAGTTGACCTTGTTCACATAGTGGGCCACTGAGGGTTTGACATGCTCACCACGGTTTCTCAGTGTCAGCTTGTGGGAGACAGGTGCTAGTTCCTCCAGAAGGTGGCAGGCGTTCTCTGCCTGTGGAGGGGCTCCTTGGGACCACACCGGACTCCTCACATCACCGTGGGCCACAGATGTGTTCACAAGCCATGGCAGCAGCGAGATGGGGACGGGGCTGACATCCCCCTTGTGCCGTATCATTCTGCAGGTGCCTTATTAAGTGGCTGGAGGTTCGGAAAGTGTGTCCCTTGTGCAACATGCCAGTGCTGCAGCTGGCCCAGTTGCACAGTAAGCAGGACCATGGCCCCCTGCAGGGACCCCTTCCCGGAGCAGAAAACATCGTATAGCTCACTGCACGGATCGGATTGTTGCTGGGTGAGACATCTGTGTGGAGCCAGGAGGAGTACAGTCTGCCTTGGCTGCTTTCTACCTGGAACACCAGCTGCCATTCCCTATGCCTCATGGAGAACTCTTGGGCCAGCCAGACTGAGAACCTAGGCGTCTGGGTCTTGTGACAATCAAAGTAGTCTGACACCACCCCATGCCGAGAGAAGAGTAGTGGATAAGCCTGCAGGTTTGGTTTCAGGAACTTCATGAAGGTCTCTTGCTGACTCCATTACACTACCAGACACTTACCTCCATGTCAGGGTGAATGTTTATTAGGCAGGAGGGAAGATAAACAGGTGTTAGAGAAGGTTGCTGAGGGGAGGTCTCTAAATCCACTCCCCACCCTGAGGCTGGGTAAAGCTTCTGTGCAGACCCAGCAAACCTGGCACCACTGAGCCAAGTAAAACCAGCAGTTATGCCAGCTGAAGCACAACCTCCCAATCGTTAGTGAGGCAGTGCCCACAGGCTTGTGTTCCTTTCATAAGGCCGTCCTGGAGCCCAAGGGCTTTGGGTACAACAGCGGCAGTGCCTCTTGCCATACCTGCCCCTCAAGCTCACAATACTTGCTGTCAGATCAAGTAAGCTGAGAACATTAGATGTACTTGGAAAGGACTGGTCAGAAGCCATTTCTTCTGATCATTTCCCTTCCTACTCACCAATGAGACACTCAGGAGCCCACACGGTCTCTGTGCGACCTGGGGGCCCCCGAGTGCTGCCCACTCCCCCACAAGTGGTGTTCCTTGTAGCTGCTGCTGTCTGCCTGTTGGTTTGGGAGAGCCCTCGGGGGCCCCAGAGGAGCACTTTCCTAAGGGTGATCGTCTGGCCCTGCTGGATGAAGAGGATGCTGACCCCATTGCCTTGCCCCTTCTCTGTTCTTTCCCCTCTTGCTTTTTCTACTTAAAATGCCTGCCAGTGACTTTTTAAGTTTATCCCAAATAAGATCTCTATGTAATTCAAAAGCCCAAAGCCAGTGATCCAGTCAGAATTATAACCGGGCTCTGCCCCTCCCCACTGGTGTGTGCCTCAGTATTTAGACTTGGATTGCTGACTGCAAGTGTCTTTAAAGGAGAGAAATGCATGCTGCTCTTTGGCTTTTTCTGCCCCACTCTTCTAGAAATGATTCAGCAGACTAGGACCTGTCACTGCAAAGCAGCAGCAGGTGACAAAGGACATGCTTCTCCACAGCCTGCTTCCCTTCCCTGTCACAGGAGTGCTTCCTACAGCAGGTGTGAGGAAGTTTTCACCAGAAACAGTCTGCTGACAGAGGATGGAGGGGCTTTGCTGCTCTGCTCGTGGCATGGCTCCAGGAATTTCTTCTGGAACCCAGCCTCCACCATCTTAGAATGAGAGCAAACCTGTCCTTGGCTCAGGTGGCTGAAATCAGAGAGGACAAAAATTCCCATTTGCCTAGAAAAGTGCTGGGCAGAATCCAGTTTGGAAAATTACTAATCCACTTGGTCGAAACTGGCTGTTTCCTACGGCTGACCTATTTGTGGTATGCCAACTGGACTGCTTCCTAAACAGGGCAAGAGAAGTGCGAACTATTTTTATACGAACGCCTTAGCCTGTTTGGCCCCATGAGAACTCTTTACACACACACACACACACACACACACACACACACACTCTCTCTCTCTCTCTCTCTCTTGTGTTGTGGCATGATTGCACTGAATGCTGCAACACCCAGTTTACAGTGAAATGTTTTCAGTGACCAATGTCAGAAGTGGCTTGCTTCTGGCCTAACCTCATTAATGGCCAGCATGTACCCTTTTCCATGGAAGCCTTGGGACAGACATCCTCTTTCCTCTTTCTAGTGGAGCTCCAAGTTTTTCCCTTCAGGGGAGGAATGCCTATGATCTATATAAACTATTGCCACTCACAGCTTCTGAAGGATTCTAGCATTTCAGTTACAGCTTTCTTCTGTCCCCCCGGACCTGTGAACTAAGGAGACAGCCTCACCAAGTTCCTGCCTTTGTGCAGAGACAGAATAAGTGACCTCACTGCAACAGAGCTGCAGACAGGCTGAGGCAGTGGGTGCCAGATTGGATCTCAGGCATGGGGCCTGGATGGTCAGAGCTGTCCTCTGCAGTGGGCTCCATCTCAGGGTCTACTGTGCCCAGAAGAGGTGCCACTAACCTTACTTTCTCCACAATTGCGGATGTGGACCTCTTCAAAGACAGCATTCCTTCTGCGAGAACCAGCTGGAGATGTGAGTATTTCTTCATGATCGCTTCTTCCAGTGCATGGCGGCCTACAGTGGCAGGAGGCAGGCCCAGTATCATAACAGTTCTGGCAGCTCTTAGCCACCCAACTTCAGTGTTTGCTCCCTACACCTGTCCGCTTCCCACCCCCGAGCCAGGCCTTTCTTGTGTCTGCCACGCTGGACGTGCAAACAGCAGACCCTTTCATTAATGTCATCTCTTCATTCTGACTAAATCACGAGGTTTTTTTTATCTGAAGGAAACTATATCCAGATTTTTTTTTTAAAGAATGACTTTTACTTTATACTCTTGCTCAGGCTCAAACCCACAGGGAGGCTGCCCTTTCCACATCCATGAGCTGCTGGTGAGCTGCGGTTAAAGTGTGTGAATACACGGAGACTCTGGTCTGCTCTTGGACCACTGCTTGCTGTATTGTCAGTGTCTTAAGCAGCTCACTGTGTGCTGTGGGTTAATGGAGTATAACTGTGCCCCAGCTAGGGTGCATGGTGGCAAAATCATTATCTGGTTGTTGCTAGGGGCACAACTGAATTTAACTGGCTGTAGAAATGGAACAAATATAGCCTAATTTAATTCCCACTGGGTCAGCATGTGCAGCTTTTCTTTGCCCAGTAAGATTTGGTTAGGCCTGTCCCTGACAGACAAGGTCCTTGTGGACTGTGCTTGCCTAGCCAGGGAGCAGGGCAAGACAGAAATGGCCAACTAGGGACAAGTGGCCTCTGGGGAGGTCTGAGCTAAGGAATACAGGGAACCTCCCACCACTACCAAGAAAGTTGTTCTTGACAAGACTTGTCTAATGAAGACTATTTTTATGGCCCCACTACAAAGCACATCAGTCTCCATGGCCTGACCCTGTTCTACTTTGAAAGAGAGCAACTATCTTGAGAGGCTTCCTAGGGATGGTGAAATGTACACAGGAGGTATCCCAGAGCTCTAGACAGAAGCATTTGCAGTGATATGAATCACCCCCTGGGCACTCACTTGCCTTGTGCCTTTCTGCAGGTCAGCCCCTCAAAGCCACATTCCTTATCCACAACCCAGTGACTATAGTTAACAGTGACTGTACAGCCTTTTGGGAGGATGAGCTCAAGAGTGCTAATCAGGCCTGGGGTCAGTGTGCCACAGATACCACAGAGCATCACTGTCCTGAGCCTCCTGAGCGGCAGGGACCTGGTCCCATCCTTCCCTGTCCTCATCTTCCATGGTCACCTCCATCTGCCTCTGCCCACACAGCATACTAATTTGGTTGCTAGTGCTGAGTCTTCCTTTAATCTTTTCAATGGGTATTTCCCATGAAAGTGCACAAATTATAGTTGTCTTCCTTGCAGTCCTCACCCTATGATCACCATTAAGTTTATTCTTCATGTATCTTTCCAGATATTGTACAAAGACTCACAGGTTTACATGTAATCTTTCGCCCTTTTTGTTCATGATAGAAAGGAATTCAAGAGACATTCCTACACATGGAGATAGAACCATCCACAAGTCAGAACATCTATAAAGAGAGGCCAGAATTGGGAGATATTTTTGCAATGACATTCCCTTTGAAGAAGGCCTGTTTCTACTTGGTTCCAACACTCTAGAATTTTAGTTTCCTGTATAAAACAGAAACCAGTCCTTCCCTTACTCCAAATGCCCAGCTGATCCAACAGCACCAGTTTTCCATGTCTTTTGCACAGCCTCTTCCCCACCCTGACCAGCCTCTGCTGGTGTCCTAAACAAGTTGGCACCTCTCCCCCTTGGCAGCTTCTCCAGAAGGACCAGGAGTGACCCTCAGTGATGTTCAGCTGCAACTGTCATGGTCTCCGAGGTAGGCACCGGTGTTTTTGAGGCAGGGGTTTAAACAGGCTTTGTGTCTTGTGGGGCAGGTGCCCCACTCTTCTCCGCCACAAACCATGGCTACACCTAAATGTCCACATGTGGGTTCAGATTGGCTTCTTTACCCTTGGTCTTTTAAGTGAGCTCAGAAGCAAATGCTTCTTACAGAATTTCCCCCTTGCTTAGCTAACTTTCCACTTTACAACAGAATCAATACCATTAGTAGTTTTTCAAGTTCATTTTTGCCTTTGAAGGTGATTTACATCGAAACAGTTTCCTCTAGGCAGCCTTTATAGAGAAGAGGCACAGATGGGTATCTCACAGCCACCCAATGTCTCTTGGCCATCACTTGCCTCTCTGCCACCCAAGAGCAGCAGGCCAGTGGGCTAAAAGTACAGCAGGGCCTGCTCCAACCTGAAACCCAAGAAGAAATTCTGTGCAAACCCCACATCAGGGCACTTGTGAAATCTCTGGCCTGAGTCAGGTTAGTATCCTTCCCTAGAGTCGATAGGAATTTCCTAAAAGAGATGCAGGTCTAAATTGTGAAATTCAAAGGTGATGATTAGAAAATACCAGGTCTTAGCTCTTTAGTAAGATTAACAAAGGATCCCATGTGTCGCAGAATGTCCTTGGAGTGAGAATGGAGAAAACCAGGGGCTTGTTCAGTTTTGTTTTTGTTTTTTTTTTGGGGGGGGTTGCTTTTGCTTTGTGACAAGCTCTTACTATGTACCCCAGGCAGCCTCAAACTCATGGCAACCCTCCTGCCTCAGCTTCCCAAGTGCTGGGAATATACCTAGCTAATCTGTTGCTTTTCTGATTGTTCTAGAACTCAGATCGTTGCATGATACAAATCTTTTTATTCTGCTTTTAGACCAAGCATCAGCACTCTTGGCTACCAATCCAGACCTCAGGCCTGTGGCCAATGGGTCAGGGAGAATACCCTTGCTGCTTCACAGACAAGGTGTGAGCCAGAACATGGGCTTACCAGGGCTGTGAGGCTTGCTTGTGCTTTGCTGGAACCCCTCTCAGCTCCCCGTGCCAGGTACGGTCTGGAAGGTCTGTCTCTGGGCCTGCTATGCACTGTTCCTGTCCATCTACATTCCTCCCTGGCCCAGGTGACACAGGCAAGGGCAGGGTGGCCAGTGTTAGCAAGTCCCTCCTGGTGACAGCCTGTCTTCCAAGAGAGTCCCCCTGCTGTGTCTCTGGGTTTGACAGATCCTGACTAGGAAGGGGGCACTTTAGTCTTGCAGTTTAGCCCTTTGGGGTTTATTCACTAGATATTGTAACTCCTTCAAAATAAAAATTGTATGAAATACTGAGCTTCAGATTTCATAGACATATTTGTAAACTAAGAATTCTGCAGCAGAATATTTTTAAACATTCGCAGTTTTTTGTAAGCTATATTTTTGTATATTTAATTGCTATTTTAAAATTTTAATGTTTTTGCTAATCACTTGTTTAAAATAAAACATGCATGTAATTGATTCAAACACATGTAAATAAAAAAGCAGATTTTGAAAATGCTTTGTATTGTGTGTGTGCCTTTCAACTCAATAGTTACCTGCACTCCACTTAAGCAAGACTGGAAAGATTTGGAAATTCAAAGTGAGTGATTTTGATCAATGGAGCCAGTCGCAGGCACCCCGATTGAGACAGAGGCACCTCTGACCTGCCCCTGTCATGTGAGGACACCGGTGGGCGACAGGGCATGGTGGCAAGAGTTCTAGGCCTTGTGAGAGGAGCCAGTATAGGTTACAGTGGAAGCCTACACCCTCCAGCCACCCTAGTTCAGCTCTGCAGGCACACCTGGACACTGACAAGCAGCCTCCTGGCCATCGATACCAGTACTCAGGGCTGCTTCAAGTAAGAGGGCCAAGCTGTATCCCTCTTTGGCCCACATAAACCCAGGACTTGACTTCTCTTCAGCCCCTGGGCAGCCTGGTAACCTCTTCATGCAGGTTCTAGAGACACCCTGGGCTCTGGAGCCTGGGCTTGTTTTCTTGACCCTGTTCTTCTGCTGCCCATCACTTTACATGTTTTTCTCATGCTTTTGGAGTTCTCTAAATCTCACCTATATGAATATCATCCTTAGCACTATGTCTCCCCCTCAAAACCCAATTGCCTATTTGGTATCCAAAATGAAGCAACCCAAACCAAGCCTAGGCAAACTCCATCTCCCCCACATTCAGCCAACATAGCCCATAAAGCCATTTCCTTTCTGCATCATGGCTACAGCCCCCAATACTGCCTCTAGTTCGGGTACTATAAGGCCATCGAGCAGAGGTCAAACTGGAAGGAATAGCAGACAGCGGTACCAAGGCAATCACAATGAGCTTGTGTGTACCTCAGGCTAGAGGTGGTGCAGATAGTAGGCTGGGGTGAGTAGGTGCATGTTCTGCATAGAGATGGTCTTGGAGGTCTGCAGGGGAAGAAGAGGCAGCAGTACTGGGCTAGAGCTCAGAGGCCAGGGCTGGCTGGGCTGTTGCCTTGGAAAACCTCAAGGTGATCCCTGAGGAGTTTACAACCTTGGAGTGGAATGACAGCTGAGAACACGGTGGAAAGTGAGGCAGAGCAGCTTCTCAAGAGGAGAGGCAACTGTGGGTCCTGGGAGGAAGGTGAGAGAAGCAGACTCCCTTTTCAAGCTCTGGGGCCCAGCCAACCTGGGCATGAGTCTAGCTCTTCCCATCCCACTGTGTGACATTGGGTACTTTGGTTTTCCTCCTATTACACCATGGAAATGGATGGGCTGAAGGGGAGTCCTACACAGAGTGGTGCTCACAACCTTCAATAAGCTCAGGAGAGGCTGACCGGCAGGACAAACCACAGTACAGGGGCCACAGAGGTCTCAGGATGCCAGAAGCGCCTTGGGCACCAGGGAACAACACCCACCCCACCTCTGGTGAGGTGAAGTGGGTGCCTGTGTGGGGAAGATGGAGCCACCAAGCGAACACCTGGGAGCAGAGGGATGCAGGATTGGGGCCCCTGAAGTAGCTGACCCAAGAGAGAGCAACAGGGAAACAATGCCATCTCTGCAGTGCGCCTCTTCTCTGGGCCATGAGAGCCTTCACTCCTAAGGCACCCACACCCAGTGAGTGAGCCATGCCCTGCAGGAAAGGCTGAGCCTTTAGTTCCAACCCCAGCTCTGTCCCCTGGCTGGCAGTTGCTCTCTGCTGCCCCCACATGGCCGGCACTCAAGCTCAGCCAGGCCCATCCCTCCCTGCCAAGGCCAAAAGACATAGCTCCGCCACAGACCAAAGCCTTGGTGGCTTCCCATTGCAAAACTGTAGGTCCTTCCTTCTCAGGGATGTAAGTATCACTTAATACCCAAGACTTAAGGTCTACACCATCTATAAGGCTTTTTATCTACACAGCAAAGAGCAGACGTTCAGCCCTTACCAAGACTCCATCTCACAGCCCCATCAGTCTTCTGAGAACTTACAGAAAAGGCCTAGAGCCCCTGCCCCCACCCTGAAGAGTTCCTCTGTAGACTCCATACTTCCTCCTTTGCTTCTGGCCTGAAAGCACTCTCCCTGTGCCATCACCCCCAAAACATTTCTAGCAGCCCTTTGGTCTGGTGTCATTCCTGAGGTCTGTGCTTTTTATACTAGCTCACAACTTTCAAGTCACTAGCTTCACTACCCAAAGAAATTGTGCCAGAAGTCTTATCTTTCCACCCAGAAGTCCTCACTATTTATAGTGTAAAGTAACATTAAATGTCCTTCCAAAAACTGTCCAATTTTGGGTACTGAATTAACCTGCCTAGTACCAGGCATGGTGGTGCACACCTGTAATCCTAGCACTCAGGAGGCTAAAGCAGGAGGACTGCTACAAGTTCAAGGCCAGCCTGGGCTACAGTGAGACCCTATCTTTTAAAAAAGAAAAAGATTAGCCTGCCCAGTTAAAGTTCACAGAACATCGAAGTAAACCACTCTTCAGTATGTTCTCACAAAGGCTACATGCAAACCAATATGCAAGGATGATCTCCAAGGCCATTCCGACAGAACTGTGATTAGACTATAACACACAGCAGCCTGACTTGCATTCACCCAGTCAGCTAAATGCAAGAACACAAGACAGCTCTCCTAGAACATCTGCCGGAAGTGATGCTGAGATTTCAAAGCACACCACAAGCTTAACAGGACTATACTGAAAAGACGCCTGAATACAGCAAATCCTCACACTGACTGGACACAGTCCACTTTGTTTTTAATGTATTTTTACTTATTGGTTGCTATTTTAGACTGAATTCTTATCTTGATGACTTAGAAAAATACTCTTCTCATTTCTCACTTTGATTCGGGTAGTAAACAATCATAAAACTGAGTTAAGTCTCTTAAAAAAAAAAACAAAGACCATAAATCCCATCGTGGAAAGATCCAGGAAGCCCTCCCAGGTTAACAATCAGGGAATCTTCAACAGCTCAAGAAGTGCTCCAACGGCTCCAAAATAACCCTGAAAAGAATACACCAAATGTAAGAACAATTTTCCTTAGACTTAATTCAACTACCACAAGTATGATTACTAGTATTAAAGTCAATGTTGCCCTTAACTCCTGACATGTCCCTGAGCCCCAGCTAGAGGCCTGAAGCCAGCCCACTCTGGGAAAAGCAGAGCCAACAACAGTAGGTACTACAGGAACTACATGGCTCAGTGCCTCCAATAAGACGGAATGAGGCATGCGTCCAGACAACTAAGGGACGTGAGATGAACAAGCGTCACAGGGTGAGGGCCTCACTGAGCTGGACGTGGGAAGCAGGTCAAGGAGCAGGCAAAATACACTCGAGTCACCTAAAGGAGAGATGAGGGCAGCACGGAGGGACAGGGATGCCACCACTGAGCATGGGGACACAAAAGCAAGATGTGTGGAGACGAAGGCTGGTGGGTTCTCTACAGGACAGGGCAGGAGCAGCTGTGCCCAGAGGGGAGCATCCAGGAGAGGTCAACAGTTGCCCTGAGGTGACAGGAAGAAGACAGAAGCTCCGGAGGGAGGGCATGCAGAGAAGTAAGAGAGAAGCAGCAGCTGAACGTGGACAAGTCCCACATCATATCCAGAGGTGAGTAGCTCAGACACAACCAAAAACACAGAAACCCAATCAAAAAGAGGAGAGTAAAATATTAAAGGAAATACAGCCTAACATTGACAGAGAACACCCAATGAAACCAGGCAAGAGTTGTTCAATGTTACCAAATATAGCAAGGTCTCCAAAGCACGAGATGAAGTACTAAAATACTTTAGAAAAGAAGTAACTGAGAAAGAGACATGAGAAAGATCCTCAAAGTCTTGCCTATGAATTTCAAAGAGCACACTGCAAGTGTCTGAAATATCAAAAAAGAGAAGTCCAGTCTATCTTCAAGAAAGGCTATTTCAGGGCTGGGGATTTAGCTCAGTGGTTCTGTCCCCCGTCTTGTAAGCACAAGGACCTGAGTTTGATCCCCGGTACCAAAAATACATAAAAACAAAACAAAACACCCAAAAAACAAGAAAGGCTATTTCAAAAGGAAACAAACCAAGCACAGTAGTAATCCCAGCTACTTAGAAGGCTGAAACAGAACAAACAGAAGTTCAAGCCCAGCCTGGGCAACTCAGAAAGACTCTGTATCAAACTAAAAAGGACCAAAATGTAGCTCAGTAGTAGAACAACCACCTAGCCATGTGTAAAGGCCTAAGCCAGATCCCCAGCACATTAACAACAACAAAAATGAAGAAGAGGCCAGGGATTTAACTCAGCGGTTCAGTGGCCTGCCTTGCAAGAGCAAGGACCCGAGTTCAATCCCCGGTACCCCCCCAAAAAGAAATGAAGAAAGAAGAGGAACAGGAAGAGGAGGGAGGGAGGGAAGAGGAGAATAATTAAGATAGAACAGGAGGAAGGATGGAGATGGAAAAGGAGGAGGGGGAAAAAAAAAAAAGATGTGACCAGAGAGAGTGAAGCATGGCATGACACTATTTCTCGGTTCTTAAAAATGCAGTTACAACCATCTGTTATGAGGAAGCCAGAGCTACAGGGTGGTCAGAGCAGAGATTCAGCCATGCTCGGGTTCCCTGTCAGAGCCAGAGACCAAGTCACTCATCTGACAATAGTTATATATGTAGTATTATGAGCTTCCGGTGTATTTCATTTTACAATTAAAAAAAAAATAGAGACAGGGTTAGTTAGCCATTACACTGAGTTCTCCTGAAGACCCAGAACCTATTACCAAGCATATGCTAGGATGAGAATGGTAAGGGATTAAAGAGGCTTCTAACAACCATTAAACCAAACACCTTGCTGTGGAGGGGAAGAGAGTATTTCAAGACTCAAAGAGGCTAAAGTTCCACAAGGGCAGAGAGATCCACACCAGAGCACAGGCCTGACTGCATATGGAGAACACAGGGACACATGGTTCAGCGATGCTATGCAGAGGAATCAATGCAATCAGGAGGGAGAATGACAAAATGTAAAAAGAGCTGCATGCATACAATCCCAGCACTCAGGAGACTGAGGCAGGAGGATCACCATGAGTTCCACGTCAGCCTGAGCCACACAGTGTGCTCAAAGCCAGCCTGAACTACAAGACTCTGACCCAAAAAAGTAAAAATTTCATCTAGGGTTTATAATTATAGGTTGAATATCCCTTCCCCAAAATTCTTTAGATCAAGTGATTTTGATTTTGGAGTTTTCTTGATTTTGGAATATTTGGATAGAGGTTACTAGGGGAGTATCCCTAATCTAAAAATCTGGTATCAGAAATGCTAGTTGGCAAAGTTTCAGATTTTGGAGCATTTCTGACTCTCAAATCAGAGATACTCAACCTGCATTATATGAAAATACAAGTCTGAAAAAGAAAAGGTAACCTAAGAAACTAATCTCCACATTTACCTGAAAATGGTTCAACCAGAAGTAGAAATTACACAGAAGGAAAGTTATACTAAAGACATTAACATTAAATACGATTTATTTTTATTCTGTCAAAGATCACAAAAAATATACATACAGAAAGATAAAGAATTACAATAATCTGAATGGCAACTCGGTTGACTTACTAACAGAGTTAGAAATTTAAAAAAATGATTTAAACTTTAAGCTTTTGATATAGGGAATTTGTGTACTTTAGATTTTAACTATGAACTTAATATAAAAAGAAAAATTTGAGAGCAACTTTAAAGGAGAAAATAACCTTTATTGATCAGATCCTACTTTTTGTCAATTTGTATAAACATTGTTACACTAAGACACACACACACAATTCTGAAAAATGTTCATGGTAACACTGTAAAAAAAATCCAACAACACTTGAAATAGTTCATTCAATAGCAACCAAGGTGAGGGAAGAGAATCCCTTCCATAGCTCTAGTTCCATTTTACCTCCAGTCAGGAAAAACAGGAAAAAAAAAGTCTAATGTTTCTATCCCACCTATATGTTAAATTCCTATGATAGTGTGATTCTAGTCTGAAGAGTTTTCGCTGATCTGTTCATTTTTAGCGATATATCTTAAACATGTGACACATGAAATGTACAATCTAAAAAACTGGCATCAAAACAATGAAAAAAGCAGAACCCAGAGGAGCTGTATTTAGAGTTAGTGTGATGGGAAAAATATAAAGGATTATACAGAAAAGAAGTACAGCATCAAAAATACACAAAAATGTTTAATTTTTTTTTTTCTTTTGGGGCCTGCAGATATAGCTTAGTGGTAGAACACTCACCTAGCATGTGCAAGGTCCTAGGTGTTTTGCTTGTAGCAAGGATTTAACTTACTAATGGTGGAAAAAATATATGTTCTGCCACAAAGTCCTAGGTTTGAACACCAGCACCACCACACAAATAAGAAAGAGAATTCTTTAAAACTGATTAAATTTACAATTGTTATCCAAAAATCTACTTTGCCATTTATGAAGATATACCTATCAAATACTACTATCAAAAAGAAACCTACGTCATAAAATTTTTAAAAAGAGTAAATACAGCCCAGATTCTCTATCGTTCAAGTTTTGCTACATTGTGAACCGTTTAGGTATGTGACACATCGCCAAAAGCAAGTCCGCTTACCTCATGTTCCGAAAACAGTGCTTTCAACTGCCCCTTGGACCAATAATCCAAAGCATATGCCAAAAGCCGCATGGCGATGGTATTAATTCTCAAGAAATTTCCAACAAATATCACCTGGTTAATGTTCTGAGCACATCAAAAAAAAGGCAATTAGTTTGCATCTTATTGTTTTCTCAAAAAACTTACCCCCAGAAGAGCACCATGCACGGTTTTTAGCAGCAAAGTTATTGATGGTCAATTTAATCCAGTCAGTGCTACTGAAATTTGATCCCCAGACATCTCTGGACCCATTGCAAAACCATGCCCAAATGTTAAAGAAGAAAACAGATTAGAAGAAATATCTCTATTAAATATGACAAATAGTAAATACTAATTGAAATTTGTATATAGGTTTAAAAAGTAATCCCCAATTAAAACAGGAAAATGATGCACCATGCCTGCCTCCCAAGTGCAAAGTCCTACATTTGATCCCTGGTACCAAAAAAAAAGAAGAAAAAAGTGATATAAATTATAAAAGCTCTGTAACAGATAGAAAAAATTCAATTTTAGCATGATTAAACAAAGAATTTTAAACCTATTGGGTTCACAAAACAAAGAACTGAAAAATTCCACCTCCATTGGTAGAATTGCAGTAAAACTGATCCATCCATCCACTGCTAAGGATGACCCTGACGATGTGCAACAAATCAATACCCATGGCCATACTGCAAGACCACACATCTCACTGCTGAGCCCTTATCAAGAATAAAACTGAGCCAAAGAAAAGCTTCACATTTAAAAATGCTTACTGCAGGGCTGGGGATTTAGCTCAGTGGTTCTGGCACCTGCTTCGTAAGTGCAAGGACCCGAGTTTGATCCCCAGTACCAAAAAAAAAAAAGAAAAGAAAAGCTTACTGCAGTTATTACTATAACCAAATGCCCAGCTATAGGTAAATAATTTATACTAAAGAACCTGATCAGCAAAGTAATAAATCTATGCTAACAAAAATCTGATCAAATTCATATCCATAAAATGTATATGTCAGTGAAAAAAAAAATGGTATGTATACCAACTAAAATATTCTAAAACACATAACCATAGGAAAAGAAATACACAATAAGACTCAGATTTTTTAATTATTTGATCAGGTACCATATCTTTTTAATTAAAAATGAGACAAATCCTTTTGTGCCTTTTGAAATTTCCTTTTAAAATTTATACCTACACTATATGTTTAAAGAATAGATACGGACAAGCCGTAAATCTGCACCAATTGGCCTTTAGTTCCTCTTGCCGCAGGGGCAGCCCATTCTTGGTTCTTTCATAGCCCTGTACAATGCTGCTTGACCTGAATGCTACAAGGCAGCACTGTAAAGAAGCTGAAAGCACAAAGACATAGCTCTGCTGAGGTGGAGAGGAGCCAAGGTGGGCATACATCACCCAATCAGTCTTCTCCCAGCTTCAGTGACTTCCTGTGAATTCCTTCCCGAGCCTCTACAGCTCCCAGTGAGCCTGGAGTTGAGATTCAGCATCATGATTCCCACAATTCCCATCATCAGAATCTGGCAATCTTCCTATGTTCCTCTGCTTTCTCCTCAATAGGTCACTTTACCTCCAGACAGTAGCCATGCTTATCTTCAGTAAATCAGTGAAGATTAATCTGTATGTGAAGAGTTTTAACTCCACACTGAAACAGTCTACATGACACAACTACATTTAGGTGCTGTTCTGAAGAGCAGACAATGTCAAGGGTGGAACCCACTTAGGTAGTTCAGTACTTCCCTGAGAGCAACAAAAGAAACCCATATTCCCTTACTTCATTAAGAGCACACATTCTTGCTATGGAACCAATGTTGTTGGTGATGGTGATCAAAGTCGCTCTGGCAAGGTCCTCCTTACTCACAGCCTCTCGCTTCTCCTTGCTCATCATGTTTCCAAAGCTGTGATGGGAGGAAAAAAAACATCCCAATGCTAAACCCAAGACAACAGAGTCCAAATGAACTTCAATGTTACTTTACTGAGGACAACAATGTTCAAATCTTTTAACTTATTACCAAAGAGATGGCATCTGCTCAAAGAGAGCTCAGCTTCAAAAGAGCTTGCAATCTCTGTAAGTGAACAGGTGGCTTTCCCTGTGCCTTCTACTACAACCAGCACTGGCATCACAGTCCCTCAGAGTCAGAGTCCCACAGTCAGCCAGCATCTCACCAGATTTGCTGAAGGTACCACTGCCCCTTATGCCACCAGAGACAGTTTCAGGAAGACATCTCTGTCAGCAATCATTCCAACTGCACAGCTGTTCCACTCAGTAGGTCACATTCACATCTGATAAACTGCTTCATCAAAGCAAAGCAAAGTACAGACAGCTGAGTCCTAGAACGAGCCATTGAAGTATCAGATTTCAGGGTCAGGAGTGTAGCATGCACAAGGCCCTGGATTCAGCCCCTAACACCACAAAAGGAAACAGAGGGCTAAAAAGTGTTTCAGATTTCCCTAGAAGATGAAGTAGTCAAAATTTCTTGATTGACAGAATTGGTATTAATTGCATTAATAGCTGATCAGAATGTAAACCCAACCAATCAGAAAAAGAAAGTGATAACCAGTAAATGCTGCAAACAAAAGAATGAAATCTACAGCATTTACTAATGTCTAAAATTAGTAACAAGCACGTATGTGTATCTTTTCTGTTAAAAGAAACATGTCCCAATACACATAAAACAACTATATTCCTTACCAAAAAAAAAAAACAAAAAAAAACAAAAAAACCTCAAAATAAAGAAAGTTCCATTTGTAATAGCAGCAAAGAGAATAAAATGCTTAGGATTTTAACAAAATCTATACATCTATAAATCACTGTTGGAAGAAAGCAAAAACCTAAATAAGTGGAAAGATATTCCATCTTCTTGGACCAAAGACCCGACAGTGTTAAGATGGCAATCTCCCCAAACTGGTCAACATTTTCAATTTCTATAAAAATCTCAGCTGTACACTGGGGATTTAGCTCAGTGGTGCTTCTACCTGCCTCACAAGTGCAAAGTCCTGAGTTCGATCCCCAATACAAACCAAAAAATCCCAGCTGTATTTTTTGCAGACACTGCCAAGCTCATCCTAAAATTCTTAAGTAATTTCCAGGAGCCCAAAATAGCTAAAATAATCTTTAACAAGAACAAGGTAGAAGACTCACACTTTCTGGTTTCAAAACTTAAAATGAAGCTACTGTAATTAAGGTAGTATGGTACTGACAGAATGACAGGTATACAGATCAGTATAACAAGTCCAGAAAAGAACCTAAACATCTACACTTGATTTACTGTTGAGAAATCGACAGAAAAGGAGTGGTCATTTCAACAAATGGTGCTGGGACAACTGGATGATCACCTTCTGAAGGAATTTGTAGTAGTACTTCCCACCACACACAAAAATTAATTTGAGGTGGGTAGGGGTGTAGAGTACTTGCCTAGGATGGGCAAGACCCTGAATTCAGTCCCCCGCACTATAAATAAAATTGTCCCCAAAATTCAAAATTGGTCACAGACCTAAAAAGAGGTGAAACAATAAACTCCTAGTAGAAAATAAAGAAGTAAAACCTCACAGACTTAGAATAGGCAATTACATTTTATATGTGACACTAAAAGTATAAAAGATTAAATAAAATACTTCATCAAAACTAAAAACTTCTATGCTATAAAGAACATTATTGGGCCAGGGATTTAGCTCATTGGTTCTGCCACGTGCCTTGCAAGCTCAAGGTCCCAAGTTCGATCCCCAGATCCCCAGTACCAAAAAAAGAACAGAACATCATCAAAGAAATAAAAAGACAAAAAAGGCAGGGGCGATATTTGCAAATGATATATCTAATAAGGGACTCCCATCCAAAACATATAAACAATTCTTGTAGTTCAATAAAAAGAAAAACAACTTAAAAACTAGCAAAAGGCAGCCAGGGCTTTAGCTCAGTGGTTCCGCTGCCTGCCTCGCAAGCACAGGTCCTGAGAGTTTGATCCCCGGTACCAAAAAAAAGAGTAGAATTTAGACAGAAAAAGGTGCAAGATCCCAATAATAAATGTAACTGTACTGTATACCTAAAATGTTCCAATAAACTAAAAAAAAAAACAAAAACAAACAAACTAGCAAAAGGCATGGATAGACACTTCTAAGACAACAGACATACAGCCAATAAGCACATGCCAACTATTCACTAGCCATCAAGGAAATGCAAATCAAAACGCCAATAAATAACACCTCATGCTTATTAGATAGCTAAATAAAAAGATAAGCATGCTAGCAAGAACATGGAGCCTTAAAAAACATTAAGCTAAATGAAAGAAGCTGGTCACAAAAGATGACAAACTCCCCACACCATTTATATGAAATACTCCAAAAAGATGAATCTAGAGACAGAAAGTATATCACCCCTGGGGAAGGTTGGGGGTGGGAACTGGCAGATAATGGATGTTAAGAATTCCTTCTTAGATAAAGAAAATGCTCTGAAATTGGATTACAGTTGCAAATTTCTGCGTAGAAATCACTAAATTTTACACTTTAAACCAATGACTTTATGGTACATAAACTAATTCTGAAAGTTGTTGAAAAGAAGGCACACTCCTTTACCTCGAAGCCACGGCCCAGCCTGGCAATCCAAACCTCTCATAATCTCCTCCATAAATGTCTCGCACTAGTTTATCCACTTTGGTACTGTCTCCACAAGATGCCATTTCAAGAGCTTCTTCAAAAGTGGTACACCCAGTTAGAAGACAACAGAGACCAAAAAAAGTCCCTCCTCCAAGACTGTGATTAAAAAGAAGCAAGGCAGTATTATATTTTTAAAAAAACAGGAAAATAAGATTTATGAACCCCAAAATTACATTCATCGATCAAGTTACTCTTGTCCCGAGACAATCATGAAAGTGGCACTAGTAAGAAACAAGTCTGCAAAAAGATAAACACAAGAGGGCCGGAGATTTAGCTCAATGGTTCTGCCACCTGCCTCTCAAGTGCAAGGTCCTGAGTTTGATCCTCAAGGAAAAAAATAAAATTAAAAAAGATAAACACAAGTACTTCATATAGACCTTGAATGTACAATTTTTTGGGTGTGTGTGTCCGGGACTGAACTCAGGACCTTGTGTTTGTGAGGCAGGTGGTAGCACTACTCAGCTAAATCCCCCGGCAACCTCATGTTTATGAGAGCCAATAAGCAAAATAGAAAAGTTCAGGGCCCACCTTCCTGCCAGTGTTTCAGGTGTAGTCTGGGTGCTACCCAGTACAAGCCCCTCAGGCGCAGATCAGTCCTATAGCCTCAGGGAAGTCATGCCTCACCTTCTCCTTTCCCCTCTTCAGGTGTATCCCCTGAAGTTGTTCTCATTCAAGCACCTTGCTGCTCCGGTTCACTCATTATCCCCACCCACTAAGACACTTTCTCCCAAAAATTCTTTCCATTCTTTAGCTCACACCTGTTAAAACTTTATCCAAAACCCCAAATCCTTATTTTTCCTCAAGCAACTTTTAATTCTTAAACCAAAACATATTCATTCTCTTCTTCTATTTAATCTTCTTTTCAGATTACCCTCCCCTGATCATTTTTCTATTGATCAAGAACCTAAACTTCTACATCTCATACCTTTTCTTGGCTATGTGTCCTCCCTTGCAAGTAGGAGCACACATGTTTAAATGTATAAAACCTACAAGTTTCAAAGCTAGGACCTTCTCCTGCCTTCTCTTGCAAGATAGTATCTAGTACCAACAAGGTGCATAACTCCAGTACTCACAAGGCTGAAGCAATCCTGAGCTCCCTAGCAAGTTCAAGGCCAGCCTCAATTACACAGCAAAGAACAACACTACCTAGTACCTTTACTACTTTATATATGCACACCACAAATTATGTGAAAGCAAGAGCTTAGTAAGTCTGGTTTTTGTTTTTTGTTTTTTTTGTTTTTTTTTTGGTACTGGGACTCAAACTTGGGTCCTTGTGCTTGTGAGGCAGGTGGCAGAGCCACTGAGCTAAATCCCTGGCCATAGTAAGTCTGTTAACATAACATTTTATCAAATAACTATGGTAATAAAATCCTAAACAGAAGAAATTAAAGTATGTTTAATATTAAAGTAATAGTTAAAGTAATAATAATTACAGTAATATTAAAGTAATGTTAGTATTAAAGTAAGGCAGAGATGTAATTCAGTGGCATAGCCCTTGCCTGGCCAGTGTGAGACCCTGAATTCAATTCCCAGTACCTAAAACATAAAAAATAAAAAAATAAAGTAGGTCATAAAATCAGAATTTACAAAGAAAAACATGTTTTACACAATCCCACAAAAATTAAATCTTTTACTTAACAAGCTCTTGAAAGTACGGTTATATGTAATACCTGAAAAATTCACTTACCTTTTTATGATACAAAGAATAAACAATGACTTTTATATAAAAGACTTACCTAGTACCTGTAACCCTCTTATAATTATTTTTGGAATATACAGCTAAGATGCTAACTCCTGAGCCAATGTTCACCAGAAGCAGGGGGTATGGATTTTTTAATTCAAATGGCAATTTCTGACATTTTTCAGAATCAGCAGGGTTTTCAAAGTAGTAGCACTGTGACCGTCCATTGAATCCCACTGAGTCAATGTATAAAATTCCTTTTATTAAGCAATCTAGTTCATCCAGTTTGCAAAGCTGAAGATCACCTATCTGTAATGAAATAAGAATGTATTCAGACTTTAAAACCCAACATACATTTTTACAAATTGCTTGAAAAAAAAACATAATTAAACAAAAAAAGCACAACCCCGATATCTACTGTATGTATGCTTTTACAGAATAGACTTGAGGACAGTGAACATGGGGACAGACTGCTAAGACAGATTCCTGCTCCCACAGACCCAAACACAAACTACACATAAACCACTGTGGCATTCAGCAATGGACGTCAAAAATGACAAGTGAGAACCTACAGACCTGCCGACTAGGAAAAAAGATCTCTGTTGCAGGGACACTGAGGTAGGTGCACAGCTGAGGCCATGGCTTTATCAGAAAGCACCTGATGATACAAGGCAGGAGCCCTGATATATGCTTTCCCAGACTGTCTTCAAGGTGATGAGGTAGTAAGAAAAGAAGCCACACCTTGTTACTTAACAACCTGAAGTCAAAAGGCTGCAAGTGGCCAAAGGGCAGGGAAGATTTCTCATTCCCTACACTGATGATGACTGAATTTAAACCATTCTGATCAACTTCTTTTAAAATAATAAAAAAATGGTAAGATTATTTGTCATGATATAGAATGCAATACAGCAATTAAAAATGAAGCAGATCTATATGAACGGAAAGTGGAAAGAGTCTCAAGACATATAGTCAGTCAAAAAAGCAAGCTGAGATCTATAAAACATGATCCTTCTTTGTTTTTTTTGTTTTGGTGCCAGGGATCAAAGTCAGGACCTTGCGCTTGTGAAGCAGCCCACAGAACCACTGAGCTAAATCCCCAACCCTTAAAACATGTTAATTCTGGAGAGGTTGTTGGTACTAGGGTTAAACCCAGAGCTTTTGCACTGAGCTACATTCCTAACCATTTTTGCTTGCTTTAAATTTTTGCAATGGGGTCTTGCTGAGTCATTAAGTTGCCCACTCTGGGCTCAAACTTGTGATCCTTCAGCCTCAGGATTCAAGAGTGCTGGGACTACAAGCATGTGCTACCATACCCAGCTCAACTTGCCTATTTTAAAAATCACATTTATATCCATACATGTCATACATAGTCATTCATCCATAAAAAAAATTTAAGACATATAACTTTTCCATGGTGAAAAATACAGACTACCAGTTGTACCTCTACGAATTTCCAACCTGTTGTGATGTCTACAAGCACATACGATGTACTTGACAAAATTAACCAGGCCTGAAGTACCTGACTGTTTACAACCAAGTCTATCCCTGAAAACTCTCCCTCTTCAATTCAACTCCCATTTAATCACATTTACATTTAATTTATTCCCATCCACTGTGGGAGACAGCAAAGTTAATAGGTAACTTTAAATGAATTCTTACTTAGTCCCTAATAATACTGTTACTTTTGAGTTACTTCCACCCCAAGTCCTGTGGATTCATCATTTTATCTGCCGCTTCTTCACATCAAGAAGAATTTTATGGGGCTGAGGACTTAGCTCAATGGTACTGTGCCTACATGGCAAGTGCAAGGTCGAGTTCGATCCCTGGTATCCCAAAAAAAGAATAATTTTATGCTATTTTCCTGATACCTGCACATCCAAGTGCCAGAATTTTCATTTCTAAGCCAAATCACTTTATTGTACTGGCGTAATCTAATCCCAGTAGTTTTCTGACATTGTCAAATTAATTTCTCCTTTTATCCTTCACATAATTCATATTATCCTAAAATCTTGCTATACTATTATGAATGAACCTCGGCCTGATACATTTAATAAGTCCACAGGTAATTTCACTAACCCAAATTACTCAGAATATAAAGTTAGCAGCAATAAGAAAGCTCAAAATAAAGAAAATCTGATTCACATTAAGAAACCGAGTATTTTGAAAATGTTTCACCATAGTTTATGAGTCACTCCTAATGCACAAGAAGGTTTTTGTTTTGTGGCACTTGGGATTGAACCTAGAACCTTCACAAAGAGCTACATCTCCAGACCTTTTATCTTTTATTTTGCAACCAAGTCTCACTACAGAACTAAATTGCCCAGGTGTGGGATCCTCCTGCCTCAGCCCCTGAGTGCTGGGATGCAGACATGTAGCACCTTACCTAGCACAAACAAGATTTGACAGGCATTTCATTTCAAACAGTTTTTAAGGATAGCACTTAAAAATACGAAATACATATGAAGGAGAAGCTCCAATAGCCTAAGAACCAATTCTTAAGATACAAAGTCCAGTAACACCCTCTCCTTGGATTATTATACCATGTTGAACTTCTGCTCAAATGGTCTCCAAGTATTTTGCAAAGTGTGATCTACAAGTTCCTGGAAATAGAGAAGTTTTCTCCTCTATCTATTATGATCCATGGTCCACTAGGCTTCCAGAAAGAAGAATCCTCTCCTGCCATCTTCCCTGCCTTACTCACAGGTAGAAAAGAAACCACCAAAAACCAGCAACTAAGAAAAATTCAAACCAAAAGTGTCTATAAAAAGAAAAAAATGTGAGAAAATGAAAAGATGGAAATAAAGTGTTTGTAAATGGGGAGGGGAGGAGGGGGGTGAAGGGAGGGCAGGGACAAGGGGAAAAAATGAGAACCAAGACCTGTCATGTAAAGGTACAAGATCCCAATGATGAATGTAACTGTACTGTATCCCTAAAGTGTACCAATAAGCTCAATTAAAAAAACAAAAAACAAAAAGTGACTATAGAACCTTATGAAATAATTCATGTCAACCCTCTGAGATTCCATTTCCTTAACCATAAAATGAAGATTTAAATAAAAATTCATTGTGAATATAGAAGTACTGGCCTGTAATCTTAGAACTCAAGAAGTTGAGACTGGAAGATTACCTTCAGTTCCAGGCCAACCTGGTCTACATGGTGAGCTGAAGGCCTGCCTGAACTAGACTGTCTTTAAAAAAAAAAAAAAAAAAAAACCCCAACTCACTGTAATGATGAAACAATTCATGGGAAGTACATGGCATATTATAATCAGCAATTATTACATATTAGCCATTAGCTTTATTTTTACTGGTGCCTATTCTTTCTGCCATGATAAATTCTGGCCAAGAGAATTTCAATTGGTCACACTTCCAGGACACAGGCAAGGAGACAAGTCAAGATACTAACCAATGAATTACTTCCATACCTCAGAGAGATGGACATCATTATTTACTGTGGTTCTGTTACTATAATATCCAAAAATGGGTAATGAACTATCTCTAAAGATTACACTTAGAAAGACGTCTACAGTGGGATGGGGTGTAGCCCAGTGGTAGAACACTTGCCTAGCATGCATGCACGAGGCCATCAGTTCAATTACCAGCACATAAAAAGAAAAGACAATCAAGCCCATAGTGCTGCACAATCTCTAGGATACTGTTCTCAGCATAGGGGGTGCTCTCAGGCCTATCAGCAAACATCAGCTCACATTTTCACCTTCCAAAGGCTGATTGATCATCTTTGGGGAAATAAAAGTCAGAAGAGAAATTATGACTCAGCAATTTCACAGCTGACTAGCTGCCTAAACTTAACTAGGTTAACTTCTCTAGGCCTTGGGTTATCTATGACACAGACTGTCCTGATTGTCATATACAGTATTGAAAGGCTTAAATGAATAAAAATCCCTAGAAGTTTGGTAATGACACCAGTGATCATAAAAGTGTTATTCTATTTTTCAGTGTAAGATCCATTAGCCAGAAAGATTCTAAGTCTAAATGATGTAGAGCTCAGAGCCAGTCTGGCAAGCAGTATCTCATGGTCCTAGTAAATATTATCCTTACAAGATCCTATCTCCCACTATATCAAGGTACCCTCTAAATTACAAAAAACTTACAAGTCACAAATCTTTTATTATACAAGTATAAAATGTTGTTATATAATATATACAAAAGGTATATAAAACTGTAAATAAGTCTTAATCATCAATTTAAAAATTCATGTCAATTCTATATTATGCTTACTATGGCCAATTATAGGGAAAAGTCATTAGACACAAGAGAAAGAAGACATGGTCACAAACCATATGATACACAGGGAAATGAAAGACAGGTGTAGAATAACACAGACCAAGGTCACTTGGTGGCATAAAAAACATGTTGCTGAAGACAAGTGAAGTTCTTGGGTATCCTTGCCATTCAGGGTCTTGGCCAACTCACAAAGTCAATTCCTCAGCTATCTCCACATCCACTCTCAAAGATCTGGCCTCAGGCCTTGCTCAATGTTCATAAAATAAAAATAACTATTAAGTTCTAGTGGCTTCCACCTTCTAGGTCAGACACAGTCAAGAGATTTGGTTAACAGTACAGTACAGAGCCTATCACAGGCATTCAGGGAGGAGGGCTCTGCTGTCAACCACCTCAGTCTAGCTCTAGAGCCACAAAACATCATTTTCCACTAGAGTTTCTTATTTTTGTAATTGGTGAACAGACCAGAAAACAACTATGGGAGAGAGGAGAGAAACTAAGTGGTAGATGGAACTGAAAACATTTCATGACATCATTTTTAAATGTTTTCAGTCTCATTGCTTAAGACTTAATGATGCTATTCCTCATAGACAGGTTGTTTTTTGGCTTTTTTTTTTTGTTTTTTTGTACTGGAGATCGAACTCAGGTCCTTGTGCTTGCAAGGCAGGTGGTGGAACCACTGAGCTAAATCCCCAGCCTCAGGTTTTCTATTATGTTTATCCCAGACTAAGTTTCCATACTAAGAATCAACAAAATGCTGTTTTCCGAGGTTCTGATTCTCAATACATCTCAACTAGGCAAAATTCAGTCTTTATTTCACTCAAGAAAATTCAAATTCCATTAGAAATCAAAATTACCCTACCACTTGCAATTGGCATTACCTTTAACAATCAAATTATCATAAATTGTATATAAGCTAAAAAAATGCATACTGTGAGAAAATCCTGCTCAAATTTGTATGCTCCACCTCCAGTGGCACAAAAGACTGTGTGGAGACTTGAGAAGTTTTTATCTCTGCCCATTTGAATAAAAGCAGGCATGTCATGAGTGGGAAAGCGTATAAAGTGCAGATTGCCTTTGCGTCCACACAGAGTCAGGTCCTTCAGCTCAAGGTGCACATCCCGAATGCCCGTGGACCCGTAAGCCACATTGGAGGTCAGGTACTTCCGAATGCTTTTAAGACTCTCTACTTCTTCCTCTTCTTCTTCAGCAGTGATGTCTTTGGGTTCAAAATAAACCAACTTGACCAGGGTACCGCCAATATCCAAGCCAAACCAGGGAAAAACTAAATGAGAAAGAGAAAAAAGTCAGAACACTCTTTTTTTTTTTTTTTTTTTAAACTAAGGTTACACTTATTAGATCAGCAATTCATTTCATACTCTGTGGCTTCAAAAGGGTGTGATTCTTAACAAAAAGGTTTTTGGAAGAAATTTGATTCTGATTTGGAAAAAAACTAGGACAAAGATCAAAAAGAAAAATATCAAAGTAATAAGCCAAACCCAACTTTTCTGAACAGACAAGTCCAAAGTGTACTGTGGGACTTTTTTTTTAAATAACTACCAGGGTCCGGGGATTTAGTTCAATGGTTCTGCCGCCTGCCTTGCACGCATAAGGACCTGAGTTCAATCCCCGGTAGCAATAAATACATACATACATACCCTAATATGAGAAAAGGAAAAAATGGAAACAAAGCCACTATAAATAGGGAAAGGTGGAAGGGGTGAAGGGAGGGCAGGGGAATGGGTAAAAAATAAGAACCAAGATATATCATACAAATGTACAAGATTCCAATGATGACTGTAACTGTACTGTATACCTAAAATGTACCAATAAACTTAATGAAAAACAAAATAAAATAAAATACTACCCTAAGTCTTACTTCTGCAACACAGTGACTGAAGAATGAAAATTTTCATTCTTCCCATTGGCTTAAAAAAGAAATGTTAAGATTTCAGGGCTCTGGTTTATAATCAAACTAGAGATAAAGAAAATTCCCAGCCCTGCCTAACAAACACTACTGGTTACATTTCCCTCCTAAAACCTGATATCCTAAAAATAAAAAGATTTCAATGGCCTAAAATACCTTAAAAACAAATGGCTTGAATCAAATGGACCACAGATACATGTGCCTTTCCCTCCCACACCTAAATCCTAGAAAGACTAAAAATATAGATTTACTAATAATAAATTATTTTCTGAAATAATTCTGGGAAACAAGAAGTGACAGGAGAGCTAGACTGATACAGGCAGTATCTCTCCAGAACCCCACAAAGAGGAATGCTATTAATTGAGAGCAGCTATGAAGGCAAGAGAGTATGAAAATGCAGATGGGGGTAGCTACCATAAGAAAACAGGAGCAAGCTCTGGTGCAGTCCCAGGTGAAGTAGCAGAGAAATTTCTTTCGCGCATCTGGACAGGACACCCACTTCCCTCTACCAAGAACACTCCCACCTCCACCTTCTTAGAGGCAAACAATTCAGTTACCCCAGGCACAGGAGCCCAGAGTGGGCTCCACGTGGCTGTTGCACACACAAGGGAGAGCCGAAATGCCTGGGCACACATGCCCCATTTCTCCCCCACAGTCCATGCTGACAGATTTTGGTTAACAGTATCTATCTATACCCACCAACAGAATAGTAATTCTGAAATCAGGCACAATCACTGTGCAAACTAGAACCACTGTACAAAAGAGAAATGAACTCCATGAAAATAAGAAATTAAAGTATCTGAAGAAAGAGGGGCAGGAACTAGAAACATAAATGTACTCAGCTATAAAATGAGATCTAGCTGGGCATGGTGGCGCATACCTATAACCCCAGCACTAAGGAGGCTGAGGTAGAAGGACTGACACAGTTCAAGGCCAGCATGAAATAACTACACAGGAAGAAGACCCTAGTAACTTAACTAACTGAATGAATGAATGAGATATCACCCATGAAAAATAACCTAACATACAGAAAAAAATCAGCAAACATGATAAAAATTATATGGGATTAAATACACAAACGAGTATGTGTAAAACTTGTGAAATTTAAATTAGTTTCTCTATGTTAACCTCCACCACCCAAAAAAGACAAACTACTGTATACTTACCATGCATGAATCTCAAACACAGAATGAAAGTTTTGCCCACAAAAGGCTGATTAAAGATTATGAAGCTATCTTTATTAATCTAAAAAAATTTTTTTGCCCAAAAGGCTACATATTATATGAATCCATGTACAGGAAACTCTAGAAAATACAAACTAATCCCTTCTGCAGCAGCACATCATAGGCTGGGGATGAGAGAGAAGGATGCACTGCATAGGAAAACTGCAGGGAAACCACTTCCTATGGTAACATAAATCTTGGTTGCTGGGAGATTGGGGATGGTGTATTTACACACGTGTGTGTGTGTGTGTGTGTGTGTGTGTGTGCGCGTCTCTATCAAATTGCATAATTTGTATACTTCAACTGCATGCAGTTTATTCTATGTAAATAATACCTCAATAAACATGCTTTTAGAGCCACAGATATACTTCAACTGCATGCAGTTTATTCTATGTAAATAATACCTCAATAAACATACTTTTAGAGCCAGTACAGATGGCACATACCTGTAATCCTAGGCTAAGGCAAGAAGATAATGTGTTCCCAGCCAAGGGCTACAGATCAAGCCCAAATTACATGGCATGACCTGACTCAAAAAAAAAAAAAGCCTTTTATAAAAGAAAAAAATACTGCCAAAAGAAATCTCCACAGATACATTTAACAGCAAAATGAAAAACGAAACTAAAAACTCCTCCATACTCTCAAGTATGAAGGAAATGACAGAATTAAAAACTAGAAAGTCCAGTATCTATCCTTATGTGATTTCTATGAATTTCCTGGGGCAGAGGGAGAACATGAATTACAAGATGGAAATCTAAGTGTTAAATAGAATCAATTAGTGGAGAAGGGGACCAGTGATGAAAAACCTTTTAGAACTTTCAATGACACAAACAGCACACTGCAGCACACATGCCATAGGTTTGCCATCACTAACCTAGATATATCCTACTGAAATTCAAGAATCTTAAGAAAAAACCTCAATTTCCACAAAGATGTATAAACCACATAAAAGTAAACAACAGACTTCATCAGCAACAGAGATGCTAGGAGAAAAAGAAAATAGAGAACTGTCTTCAAAGTTATAAGGAAAAACTTGGAAACTTACTCATTCAAACCAGTCTTCAGGTGGGAATGAAAAAAAATTTTCACACACAAAAGTGCTTAACTTTTACTACTCAAAGAACTTCTCTAAGGATGGAAGTATAGCTCAGTGGTACAGTACTTGCCTGGCATGTGTGAGGCCTTGAGTTCAATTCTAGTATCACTAAAAAAAGAGAGAACTTTTCTGAAATTAGTAGATGCACACCAACGTAATTTTAAAACACCTAAGAGCTGTATGAAACTAAGAAATTATTTTACCCATGAGCTAGCAGAGGAATGAGTACATGCTGACTTTTAGAAAAATAAGCATATCTGGAACTAAAATACTTACATGATTTCAACATAGGAAGTCGAAGAGGAAGAGAAAGGAGAAGAAGTGAAAGCAAGCACCATTTCTGTCTTGTTGGGAAAAGGAAGAAAAGATTCTGATTAATTGTAGACAAGAACAAAGAAATGACAGTTTAAATGTGTTAAAAATGCATGGGTAACTCTCGAAGAAAAAAAGAACCTCAGACTTTCAAACTAGATATGGATAATAATAGAGTACTGTGTTTCCAGATGCGGGATGCTACAGATTGAATTTGGAGCCTCACACGGGCCCTACCACTGAACTACACCCCAGACCTACAGGGGTTTCATTTTGGGATTTTTCTGAGACAGGGTCTTGCTATGTATTTCAGGCTAGCCTTGAATCCACTATGTAGCCCAACTGGCTCAAACTCCCTGCAATCCTTAACACAGGCATTCTCTAGGCATGTACCACCTCACACACCCCCATAAAGGGTTCCTGAATGTTTTCATCACAAGGAAATAAATGTTTGAGATGAGTATGTTTACGTAATTTGAAATTTATACAATACATTTAGAAAACATCACAAAGAATCCCATTTATGACCATTTATGCATGGGACCTCTATATACCAGTTTAAAATACTTTAAAGGGATTGTTATATACAATTTGAAATACTAGAAAAATAAAAGGGACCCAAAATAAGCAGAGGAAAAAGCTATTAAAGATTAAAAATATGAAAGAAAAGAGAGGGCCAGGGATTTGGCTCAGTGGTTTCGCCACCTGCCTCACAAGTGCCCAAGTTCGATCCCTGGTACCAAAAAAAAAAAAAAAAAAGAAAATCATCACTGTGTACAAACCCACAGTACTCTTTTTTGTTGCTGTTTTTTTGAGACAGGGTCTCACTATGTAGTTCAGACTGCTCTCAAACTGTGTAGCCCAGACTGGTCTCTACTCTGCCTCAGCCTCCCAGTGCTGGGATTACAAGTGTGAGCCACCACACCTGGGTCCGCAGTACTCTTGATCAATAAAAAATCAATCTTTGGAAGTCAGTTAGACATACAAGATTTCTCTAATCCCAGCACTTGAGAGGGGGAGGCAAGAGAATTAACAGTTCAAGACAAGCCTGGGCTACAAAGCAAATCCTTGTCTCAAAAAAATTTTTTAGCCAGGTGTGATGGCACACACCTGTAATCCCAGTACTTGGGAGGCTGAGGCAGGAGGATCACTGTGAGTTCGAGACCACCCTAGGCTACATAGTGAGTTCCAGGACAGTCTCGACTACATAGTGAGACCCTGTCTCAAAAAACCAAAAAAAAAAAAGACTTAAAAAAAAAAAAAAGCAACTACATCCAAAAACACAAGACCTAGTTCCACTTCAAAATAAATAAATAAATAAAAATCAGAGATCAGAGATGTATTTTGTCACATATTTGTGATCCCAGCTACTTGGGAGGATGAGACAGGAGAATAAAAAACTGGTGGTACACACCTGTAATCCAAGCACTCGGGAGGCTGAGGCAGGAGGATCATTGCAAGCTTGAGGCCATCTTGGGCTAGTATCAAGGCCAGCCTAGACTAGAGAATTCAAGGCCAACCTAAACTACTAAAATATCAAAGATGCAGAGTACAGAGGCAGAGGTTTTTACAAATAAACGAATGTATATACAACTGTATAAAATAAACTTAAAATGTACACTAACATGGAGTAGCTAGAAAAAAGTACAAAAACAGCTCAAAATGATATGGAAAATGTGAAAATCAAAAAGCACTAAAAACTTTTTTTTTCAGTACCGGGGACTGAA